AAATAAATAAATTTGTTTGATAAACATCACTATCGCAAAAAAAAAAATCTATTCAATTCTTCCATGCTAAATTAGCAAATTGAATATTGTCAAAAGATGAAGAAATATCTATAAAGTCTTGTTTCCTTTTGTTAATGTCAATTTGTAGACAAAATCCGTTTATTATTTCCTAAAGCAACGTTGTAGTATATTATCTTCTGGCTAATAACGCTGGCGATAAGTTTAATTACTGGACGCGTTTCATGATTATGATGGTACGTGGCAATAATTTTGGTTCGCTTCCACCTTCAGTCATCTGCATGAAGATATAATATATTAGTTTGATTATATTCAATTTTGTCTGCCCAATTCACTCCGGAAGCATCCCAATTATTTACAGAAGTAGTAGTAGCAAGTTGAGGATTGGTTACACCAATGACAGCGGTTGGACCAAAAGCATCCCAATTAGAATCTTGAAACGAGGTAGCATCAACTTCATGTGTGTCGCCAGCGAATTTTTCAGACAGAACCCCTTCGGCTTCTTTTTCGATAACTTCAGGGTCATGGCAAAAGAACATATCCACCATTACATCCCATGACGAGTCACGTAAAACAGCACCACGAAGACGAAGTACTTCACGAGCAAGTAACCAATAGATTAAGCCGATTGCATGCTTACCCTTATTATTTGTAGGGATTGCCACATCTACAAATCCAAGAGGTGATTCCGTATCACATAAAGCAATTACAGGAATGTTGACATATGATGCTTCCTTAATGGCCTGATGATCACTCAAAGGATCATTTACTATAATTAGTCTAGGCTCCTTGAAAGAACGAGTGATGTAATTTGTGAACGTGCCAGGAATAAATTTACCGGCTACAGGTTGAGCTCCTGTGTATAAAGCAAATTTTAACACAGCTCTTTGACCATACTGACGAGATGATATGACACATACGTCAGCTGGATTTTCTATGGCAACAATGATACGAGCAGCAAAAATTAATTTCTCCCATGTTTTACCAAGGTTAATCAAATGAATTCCTAATAGAAATTGATTGATTATTTTAATAAATCTATACAAGAAAAATTATAAATTGCTAACAATTTATTTTATATTACCATCACCACGTCTCTTCCATACATAAGGAGCCATTTGAGCATTTATATTTTTTGAACCAATATGAACATGTGCTGCTAGAAGAAGTTGCATGTCTTCCTTTGTAGCTATATTAAAAAAAAAACCCCCCTTATCAAAAAATTGATTTTTTTTTTTTTTTTTTGCTGATAATAATTGATAAATTACCATTTAATATTGAAGGAAATCTAGACATATTTCTTCGAGAGAAACTTTGAGTAATAGTTCTTTTAGCAAATGGTTCTTATTAATTTACATAAAATGACTGGATTCTTTTAAGTCAAAAAAATCTTCTTTAATTTAATTTAAATCATAAACATTATATAATAATTATGTCATAATTGGCGGACTTAATTCTAGCGGTATCAACAGAAACACAATTAAATTCAAAAATGGTCTTTCTTTTGTTTTTTATTAAAAATTTCAATTAGACTCGCTGATTCGATTGTATTTTTCAACATTCTACAAAGAAATCTTTTAGTTGTAGACTGTTGTCTATCTAGGGACTAATTTTTTCAATAAACAGTTCTTGGCAATGATTAAAAAAATTTAAATCGTAATTTAGTGTATAATAATAACGTATATATATATACAGTTTGTGGCATTATCTAAAGACTTTTTCAAAGCAGAATAAATATCTCTTATTGTAATTCTTGATTCCCTCCAGTTTGAGAAGCTCAAATTACTTCTTGGCTCAGAATCAAAAACCAAACATTGCCTGTTTTGTTTTTCATATAATATCTATGAAAGCCCGATGAATAATGAAATTGTAATATTTGGCAACGCTAATTTATAAAGTTTTCTTTTTCTTTGCTTCAAAAATTTGATTAATATATTATTTTCTATTATTTTAATGCTGAACTGCTTATATGGTACTAACAAATCCTTCGGATAGTTCTTAATTTGATATCCAGGATGGAGAAGCAATTTTATTACAATCGGTTTTTCAAAAATTAATTTTGAAGAATAAGAAAGGATGGTCGAGAAAATGAAGTAAAACAAAAAAAAAAATCGAAACTAGAATCTTCAGGAACAAATTCCTTTCCGAGAGAAGATCTTATCCTAGTAAATATATAAGATCGTCTTTTTACATAATAATATTTCGCGCGTCTGTAAATTATCTCGTGACAATGTAATAAAAACATTCGAAAAGTAAATTTTTTCATTACATACATGTACAGTCACGTCACAAAGTAACGCCCGATTTTCTTGTGTACGACGATACAATGCATTTGCACAGCCCGTTTCTTCCCCTTTTTTTGTATAACTTTTCTCATCTTAAACATATCTATTGCCATATCAGCATGCAGTTCGTGAGTTGACAGGAGGTTC